TAATTAGTGTTCTTCCTTCTGAAAGCTGGATGTTGTACCATTTTATTCTTAACAAACCATATCTTGCATGCGTTTCCGTTGTTTCCTTGCGGTTTTCGCTTGATAGATAATGAAAGTTATCATTGTTAATGATTCAAGCTAACAGGTGAACTGTGAGCTAAAAATGATCGAAAGTGGAACCAATTAGCCTGTCTCATTGATATTCCAGCGTAAGATATATCAATTATGGATTCCGTATAAGAAAGTTCTTTTGGTCCTATTATTTATAAAATTGAAAGCGTATATTGGTATAATTTTAGGAAATTGATTCTGCAAAGAAAATATGATCGTTAATAATTTCGACCATTTAGGACACTTATGAATCTCTAAAAACCTAAAACCAATACAAAACTCGGGCAGTTTTACATCGATGGTCCAACGGGAACATCACATTTAAAACATAGATGTTTTGTTACTGAAAGACGTCGAATGTAAAACATTGATCATGACAACTGTAAGTTTCTATACTACCGTACAGATCGCATCGAACACGTTTGATGGTCCTATTAAATGAACACGAATGGTTTGCCATTGTAGTTCAACTACAAATACATCAATACTTCGATGGTATCGTCCCAAATCGACACTATCAGCCCAAACATAGAACAGCGATGCTTATCTAAAGAATCTAAAAAAAACCTAACGAATATTAAAGTTACATAACACCAACTGCAAAACTTCAAATTGTTAATCGATGGCCATGAACATATTCCTTGGGAAATCATAAAGAACTTTTAGTACCTTAGTTCAACAGAATATGTCACAAGATGAAGAAAAATTCTGAGAAAAAAGTTTATGATTCCATTATTAAATCGCCAGATCCAGGTGCAGCAAGTAACCTTTAAAGTCCGGTACATAATTATTCTTTCGTCCGATTCGGCATGCGAGTATGTCCAAAATGAGAAATGTATCCTGGAAAGTATAGTAACATGTTGAAACACCTGTGACGACATTGGGCATCACTCTTGGCCCATTTCATAACCTGTTCTTCACCTCTACGTCAACATTAGAAAAATATTATTCAGTTTTCAAAAAAGAGCAAACCTCTGTAGGTCAAGGGTGTTTGGCAAATTTATAACAGTAGTGACTCTTGAAATAAAGAAAAATATTACGAAGAGACCTATTTTATTTTCAATTTTTTCTGAATCTTGATTCTTCCGGAATAAAATTGATTCTACCAATCTACATAAGAGAGAAAACAAATCTTCAGATTCGCCCATACATTGCTGAAACCACACGCGTGATATAATTTGAACCGCAGGAATCTGATCGGCGATCTGCGGAAGTCTCCAGATTTCTGAAACACAAAAATATCGATATAAGTAAAGACTTGATGTCCACAACAAAACGCGAAGAAGCAAGAACATTAAGCGAATGGTTGAAATAAAAACTTTTCTTCAATTGTGAACAGATATTTCTGGAAATCCTGTCAGTTAAGTCTTAAAAATTCTATTAACTCATAATAAATATTGCAATTTTTTAATTTTTATTTATACCCTTGACATGTTATTACATATTACAAAATCTGATCATAGTACGTTTTTTCACACGGTTATAACACTAACAGTAATGCAGCGTTGCACCCGGAGGACACATATAATGAGAAACCAGCCAATGCTGGCACTCATTGTGAGGGACTGAAGGGGCAAGGTCTCGAGGATGAAGGCAATGTGGCTGGATCCGTATGTGTAGGGAGGGTTCGAGCAGTAGGGTTAGGATCGAGATCTTGGTGTGGAAGTTTTTAAATCGGGAACGGGCTTTGACGATTTGTCTGAAGACTTTTGATTGGAAGGATTGGATGCGCTGGATGTTGGATGGTTTGGCAGAACCTGAAAATTACCATATGTCTAAAGTAGTCTCAGTAAAGTCTTGCTTAGGATTAGTTTAGTGATGATTGTAAAAACGGATTTCGGTCCTAGAAATCTTCGTAGTTGTCAAAGTCTTATGTAAGTTGTTGCCTCTTATGTCTCGAGTGGAATTCCACGTGAGTGTCTACGTATAGTCCTAAGAATTTGACTTGAATGAAAATCGAAATATCTTTGTTGATGGAGCACAGTGGAGACAAGACTTTATTTTTTTTCAATGTGAACGTACACCGAGTATATTTTTCTTCATTCTTGCTCTTTAAACCTTGCACCAGACGTCGATAAGCTCAAGGTGTTCTTGAATGTTGGAGGTAGCTTGATCAGCACTCGAGCTAGAGGACAAAGTTATGTAGGTGGTGATGATGGTATTGGGGTGTGCGGGTAGGACAGCAGTTTAGATTATATAAAGGATGGGACCAAAAATGTTCGCTTTTGAGACGCCAGCTTATATCTGTCTGACTTCCAGTTGTATTGTCTTCTATATTGTATTTTCCGACTCGTTGCCGACCTTACTCTGAAACAGTTTCTAGCGGATAGATAGGTTTTCAGAATAAGGTAATATGGAGTATGAAGCGTGTAAATTTATAGATTCGGATGCCAGACCTAAATTTTTTTAGGTTTTGTACATCCTTCTACCGTTGCACACATTTCATAAAGTTTGCACCATTTTTGATTGGGATTTTTGATTTGTATACTTGTTTTGTTTGTGTGAGATTGTGCATGCAATTTCTCATTATTGGTTTCTTTTTCTGTAGAATCTCCAAGGGTGCGGAAAATTATTAGAGAATTAAATATTCATATTTCTAGTCGTTAGTGCGTTCAAATAAGCGAAATAATTTAGATTTTCCTTCTAATCGTCTTGTAGGTAATTGCATTTAATCAGTCTGTCGTCACGGCTCACAAATTTTAAGAAAGAAGAAGACGAGAAAACAGCGTTATAAGTAAGCTGAAGACTAATAAAAAATATTGACCGGTTGCAATATGCTTTTCATGAAAGCTGAAATAGTAGACAATAATATAAAAAAATGATATGTTGAGAAAGATTTATAAGACATCCAAGAAAGAGAAAATATTTCGAAACTCAGCCAACCTACGACTGTAGTAAAACAATGAACTTCAATGTAAAATTCAATAAATACTTTTTAAAATGCCATTAACTTCCAATAGAAAAAACAAATATTAAAAATATAATACACAATCTGACCGTTTATTTTTATTTTCCTTCAAAGGCTATGATTTATTAAATCATATTATTATATTAAATTCAAAAATGAAATTAATATATTTAATGCGACTTAAATTTTAGCCAGTTTTTTTTTCAAGACATATAAATAAGCACCTGCAAGCACCTACAAAAGATTATACAGGAAATCAAATCTGAAATAATTCACTTTCAAAAACAAATCCTTTTCTTGGCATTTTGGCATTTAGTAAGTTATTTTCTTTTTACAGGGTTAGCAACGAATACGGCCTTTCTCTACATAAAAACAACCTTGTCATAACCTCGTTTTATTGGTTATTAAGACCACGGAAATTAATTAAAGAAACAAATAAACAAGCGCATAAATCCTCCTCTCCCGAGTAATTAAAAATTAATTGTGCATCCAAAAATTAGTACCTTATTCTGGTTTCATTGTTTCATTTCAGTCACACGAATTGAATGAATTTCAAAGCTCCTGCCGACCTTTATAAAGAACAAAAATGGTTATTAATGGTTTCCATCCTCACCCGATTAAGGATAGGCCATGCGTTGGTACATACCGACCTTTGGGACAAGGCTGCATTTTTACTATATATAATGCTTTATAGATATCTCGTTTTCTGTCCACTTGTGTGTGTTGAGAGTGGATGTATGTATTAGCGTGAATGTGTAATGTGAGTGGGTCGATGGCGAAATATAGAGTATCCCATCACCCTAAGTGAATGGTATGTAAATAGGAAAGAATGTATTTAAGAATGAGTGAAAAAAGCCAGCGTATGCGTCCGGCAAAGGTTGCTCGATGTGTCCCACTTAATTGAAGAGTGCCATTCCTTGGCTCCATATAGAGAGCTCGTAGGAAGTCCACTCGATATGAGAATTGTACTTGAGAATGTTAGCGAGTATCTGGGTCCCTTGTTCCGATTTTTAGAAGAAACAGGGCTGCTTGTGTTGAGAGTGAATGCATTTAGTAGTGTGAATGTGGTTGAGGGTCGGTGCTGGAATATTTAGGACCCCATCGACCTTCAATAAGGTTAGTTATGAACGACGTGGAAAGAGTTTTGGAGAAAGATGGAGCACTCCACCACCATAATTGAGTAAATGGTATATAAGTGTGTGAATTGGTTTGGATCTAAGAAATGCATGCATTGGGTGCTGAATTGACCTACCTATTGACAGCATAACAGCCCAACTTCGGTGGCTTGACAGATAAGACCGAGGTCTAACCCAAGACTGCCAGCACCCGAGATAGGTGATTCTCGAGACCTGCCGGTAATTAGTTGTAAATGACAAAAGCTTGAATTGCCGGTGGTCTGCAGAATGATAGGCTCAACTCTGTGCATGTATGTATACACGTGCAGATTGATATTACATAAATCCAAATCCAAAGATGACCTTTAAGATAATATGTATAATCGGCCTGGACAAATTGACATGGTTGGCAAAGATTCCATTGGAATTTTATTACGGAAAACAACAACACTTGATTAGTAGAGGAGTAATTGCATTTATTAACTACCATTCCGTAATACTGTGGGAACGGAAGAGTGTCTCGCGGAATTAATTAGGCCTCCGGTGATGTAAGTACACTTTCATTGATCCACTGAAATGTAGTTTAACATTAGGAAAAATTATGAGTCGAAGAAACTACATTTCATTCGCAAAAACATTTTAACGCCAGAATTCGAAAATAAATAAAATGCTGTTAAGCAAAGTAACGAAAAAGCAACGATTTAAACAAAGATATGGAAATTGCATTTGTTTATCAGTTCAATGGGGAAATTGCCGGTCTGATTTGTGGTCTATTTCTTGAGAAACGCAATATACCCGGCCTCAAAAGATATTTCTTGTTCGTGTTTGTGGTAAATGTTTAACAATAAATTATGTTTTTGTTTCAGACATGGCTGTAACACTAAGGCTGCTATTACTTTTTGTAAGTATTATATTTTTTACCATATAATTTTACTATTAGTATTCAAAATATTTATTCAAACAACACTTTCACAGACAGACCCTGTTTTCCAATCAGACAAGTTGCATAAACTATGTGATTGATTTTTTCGCCATTTCTTTCTAAGTATACCTATTGAGAATAATAATAAAGAAAGTAAGAAACAGATAAAGAATGCGAAACTAAATTGCGTTGTTTATCAATGTCTATTAATTTAGCCTTAGGTATGAGTCTACCTAGTCTCGTTATCCTTCCTCACACAAGAAAGGATAGATAATCATATAGAACAAGAAGATGAATGAGAGTGAAAGGGAGAGAAAGAGAGAGAGAGAGAGAGAGAGAGAGAGAGAGAGAGAGAGAGAGAGAGAGAGAGAGAGGGAGAGAGAGAGGGAGGGGGAGAGAGAGAGAGAGAGAGTGGAAAGAGTCTAAAATAAAAGGAGCAGGGTTATAATTTTGCAACGAAAAGCCATGAAAACAGCACACGCATGTATGGCAAGGAGAATGAGGGGGAAAAAGAGAGAGAGAGAGAGAGAAAGAGAGAGAGAGAGAGAGAGAGAAAGACAGAAAAAAGGGAGAGAGAGAAAATATTTTGATTGATGTGATAAATAGATTGTAAGTGATATAGATGATTGATAGATACATATATACGGATTGTTGGATTTGCTGATAAGTAAATAAAGATAGAGTACAATTGATGAATAAATATAGAAATAGAAAAAGTGAATTTGTTATCTCCACAAAACCGACTAAAGGCACTTGCAGCATATGGCACGTAGGTATAAAATAAGGATGAGGCTAATGTTTTCTTTCGTAATTTGAGAGAGTAAATATATAAATTTCTAAAGGCTTAAGGTTTAGAGTACACGCGCGCGCGCGCGCGCACACACACACACACACACACACACACAAAATTTCTCACTCGCTCTCTTTCCCTCTCACTCTCTCTCTTTCTCCCTTTCTCTCTCACTCCCTCTCTCTCACTCTCTCTCCCCACTCACACTCTCTCTCTCTCTCTCTCTCTCTCTCTCTCTCTCTCTCTCTCTCTCTTTCTCTCTTTCGCTTAAAACTTCTTAGCTATGAGAAACAAAACACAAATTTACGTGTCTCGGGGTTTGTCCCAAAAACGCCATAATAAAAAAAATTTATACCTTTAGAGGAAGTTGATACAAGTTAAACTCCCCCTGTATAAGTAGAAACGACTGATATCATCAGTAAAATTATTAGAAAAATATGTATTTATCAAGAGAGGAAGAAATAGTATCGTGATATTTCTTCTTGTGGCTTGCGGGATGGTGAGCGTGGTTCTGGGTTATAAACAGGGTGAGGCGCCGAAACAGTCCACCACCCAAGATGGCAAGAAGCCGAAACGCGTCAGACCAGAACAACTTAACAGGCGGACCAAAATGATCGGAAACTATAAACTATATATGATAATATTATTATTTGTAACAAATTGAGCCTAGTAATTGTTAAATAATTAATAATTATTTGTTAATTATCGTTCTTTAAGATATTACAAGCAATTTTTGAACTGTGAGTTAGAAAAGGCAGTAGATATAAAGATATTGAAAGGATGTTATGAAGTTCCTCGTGATGTAAAGATTGAAAATGGTGGAATGTTTATGAAAAAACTCCTAATTGGTCAGAACTTTTCAAAGTATATTTAAGAATTGGGATAAAAGTTTAACAGGATTTTTTTCATTTTTCTAGTTTATTTAATACATAGCATAATATAACTGACGACATACTTCTAATTGTGCTTTATGATTATGAAGATAATTTTGAAATTACAGCGTTTGGCTGGATTGGAAAAGTATCCACGTCTCCATGCATTGTTGTATTGTCATGCATTAATTAAGCAATTGACCTTTTTTTTGTCTAATCTACCTATTTGTCTTAGCACGACCGATGTGGGAACCGACTCATCCTTGTCGATTAGGCGGGGGGAAGTTAGAAATTAGTATTCATCTTGCAAGACCTTGTGAGGGGAGTCACAACTCACAAGGCCTCGATATGACCCCCGTAGCATCTCCTATTTGTAATTTCACGTGACCTTAAAAGAATATGCCGACGAATGTATGATTACGACGATTGGCCAAATACAGAAGAACAAGGCAAACTCATTATCGTTTTAGGCGATCCATAAGCTTGGATGATCACGAATTTTTGGGGAAATATTTGACAAACTTAAAGCGTTGTACATATTTGATCAATACATATCTTCAATATTTTTATGAATTTCAACGTTTTTCTGTGTGTTTGCGTGTCTCTTGTTTTGTACGCTCTGTAAACGTCTGTCAAAAAATGATCAAGGACGATCAAAATGCAGATAAATTTAATAATACTAAATACTACTGTAATTGAACTTTTAAACAAAAATATAGTATAGTAGTACTACACCTACTTGAAAAAGAGGGGGAATAATTTTTTATTTTGACAAAAGCCAAAACGAATTACATGCTTCGCGAAACACATTTCTCATTTGAGTGCATGATTCAGTTTTAACCACGCCAGTCGCCGTCCTTGTTTGTCGAGGCGTACTGTTTGAGAAAGCCCCAGCTTTTACTTTCAGGTTTTCGCCCTGATTCTGTCTGAAGGCCTAACTCGACTCGAGATACTAGGGTCTCCCCGTTTCTTTGACGCCCATGTCAAGAATGTGAATTAAATTATGCAAAATAGAAATTTAGCCTGCCGGTATTTTTTTTTTTCACTTTCAATATTTTAACTAGCTTTCTCTTCCTTTCAATTTTTTTACGTAACATGTTTAAATCAACACGCAGATACACTCCATCATTTGATCTCATTGGTCAAACCGGCTAAACACGACTTCTACTTAAAATTTTTGAAATAACAAAATAATCTTTTAATTGGTTTTATTTTACAGCATAAAAATAAATCATCGTAGTACAAACTAATTTTATTCTTGTGGGATTGGTGGTCTGCCGGGGGATAAACCTATTGCTTGTAGTTACGTATCCTTGGTCTGTATATCCTCGCTGATTTTTGTTGGTTCAGACGCGTTTCGGTATTTCGCCATCCTCAGTGTTTGTACACCACAAAAATCACCCAAACAATGAAGATAGCGAAACGCATCTGAGCCAACAAAAATCACCGAAAATAGGAGGACTGAGATGATAAGTAACTGTCAAACAACAATATTATTCTGTTTAACAACAATTTCTTTTTAAAAAATCTGAAAATTTCTATCGCTTCACTAATTTCGCCAATTAATTTTAATTGAATTTTTCAACAGTCAGTGAAACAGTTAGAACGTTTAAATAAAAGCCGCCGACACGCCTCGGGGTCAGATTAAGTTGCGTAATTTGTTCAAAATCTGAACCAGGATATTAGCTGTCCTTCATGCTACTTTGAGTGTAGTACCAATAAATAAAAAAATAAAAAAATTCAACTACGATAATGTACCGTTCCCTACATTCAGATTTTATATTATACACTCAAGGACAAAGAAACCGGACATTCGTATTTTGTTGTTCATTTCAAACTATATGTATATATTTTTTCTATGTTACTTACAACATGCTTATTTTAATTTAAACCAAACTAAACGAGATACAAATTCATGAAGTTAAGTAAAAAATATTTAGTTAGTATTAGTAGATGGTTTGAAAGAAGCTTCAAAACACCGGGAAATCATAGATTAAAATTTAACAGCTTATTCTATCCTTAAATGATTTTTCGGCGTTTTGGTGAATTTTCTTTCAAACTACAGTAAACCCGTTTATCCGGACACCGATTATCCGGACTCGTTTGTTAAAATATTTTTTATAAATTATTTGGAGATCATGAGATGCATGAGGTAAAGTAGTGTACAGTCCCATGATCTCCTAATAATCATTAATTAACGGTCACTACACACTACACATTTTTTATAAATTTTTCATAATTCTCAATGTATGTATATTATTTTTTTAAATTTCATTATTCAACTATGGGACCTTTAATTCGTCGTTCGAAATTCGTAAAGGCCACCAAACCGCCCTTCCACTACTCACACGATCGAAGAGGCCGGAGTGGCAGTTTTTGTTAAAAAAAATAAATAAAATAAAATAAAAACGTGTCTACCATTTTAAAAGACTATAAATTGTTGTCTCGTGTTGTTCGTATGATGGCTTCCATTTGAAAAGGTTTTGTTTATTACGTATATTTTTATTAGGTATTTTTAGGCATTACATATAAATTTTTCGAGAAACGCATGTACGGACAAACAAAAATAAAACTAACAAAAATTATCTATTACTTTAAATGTTACTTGATTTATGAATTAAAGTGTTCACTTTCGTATGTGTAGTTTTTTCGTTTTTATGACAGGATACTAATAAAACCACAAATTTTCGGATTATCCGGACTTTCGATCATCCGGACAAGTCCCGGTCCCTTCAAGCCCGGATAAACGGATTTCTACTGCACCTTAATTAAATAATTTTTATTAAACTCAGGAATTTCTGATCTCGGTCAGTTTGGATTCCATTAAAATAAGTATGTTATAATTAATATAACGATAAAAATGCACGTAATTTCAAATAAACAACAAAATTCGTGTGTCCGGTTTTATTCAATTGACTTTATTTTAACGTAAGAGTCTACGTAGTCTCTTGCAAAATTAAGAAAGTAAATGCAGAAGAATGGATAGATAAATAGGCATACCAAGAAGGATTTAAAGATGGAGAGAGAGGAGGGAGAGATGGAAAGAAAAAATAAAATAGTGCACTTTAAATAGATAAGTAGATAGAGCAGTTAAAAAACAGAGAAAGCGTGTCTGAAAGATATATGATAGAGGTCGAGAAAGACATACATAGAACCCGAAAAATAATCAGATGTGTTCTTTAAAAAAAGAGCTCGATATATAGAATAGAATATATTGTGTGTGTGCGAGCGTGAGGGAATGAGAGGGAGGGAGAGAGAGAGAAACAAACAAACAGGATAAAATTGAGAAAGTGAAAATATTCACAGATAGATAGGAA